CACCATCAGAAGTGGAATCTATTTCTCTTTCCTTTCGATAATATGGGCTGACCCTATGTATACTCTGACCTTAGAATTCCAGAGAAGTGAAAGCAAGTAACTTCCTAACCTAGATTTCAAGAGCCCTTGTAGCTCCCATTCTTGCCTTCTTGGAATGTGGTACATGACAAAGCTCCAGCTAGCCTCCTGGAGGATGAGAGACCACATGGAAAAAGGCCCATCCAAAAGTTAGTACAAACTCCCAGACAGAAGAGTGAGGTAATTTTAGATCAACCATCTAGCTCCAGTCAAGCCATAAGGTGAGTGCAGCCACATAAGGGACCCTAGGTGAGATCAGCAGTACTATCTGCCTAAGCCCAGTTCAAATTGCCAACCTACAGAATCATAAGCAAATGAAGCAACTGTTTTAAATTATAGTCTGAAACACTGGCCTAATTTTAGCTTCCTCTATTTTAAAAATACAGAAAAATTACTGAATATATAAACTTAGCACTTTCGTCATGGAGAAATCATAAATAATAAAGTATTTACTTATCACATTATTTATTTTACACCTAAACTTAAAGTTTCTTTAAAACAAAATTACCATAGTCAAAGTCTTGAGATTCAGCCATTCATTCATTAATTACATACCATGTGTCAGAATCATTCCAGACACTGACTATATATCAGTGAATAAAAGAGATAAAAATCTGTGCCCACATTGGGGAGTTACGGAAAACCCAATTCCAAAATATATTACCTTCTGATATATTAGTATTATAATGACATCTATAATTTTCAAGGAAAGAACATGTAACGAGAAATGTGTATATTATACTAATAGTCACTCTTACCCTCATGCCAAGCACCAAGAACCCAATCTCTTCCATTAATGGGTACTTGCTGACCTGTTGCTGAATCTTCTCAGATGAAGCAAAAGGATCATAGCTTTTCCGCCCTATCTTTACATCCATTATACAGGGCTTATTAAATTTATGGGTCACATCTTCCAGTTTCAGGTATAAATCTGTTATTAAAGAAATACTTTAATTAGTAATAGGTAAACATAACTACTCAAGTAATTTTAAGGGGAAACAAAATGAGGAAAACTTAAAACTGAGAAAAAAGTTAAAATAAATCCAGAGTCAACAATTATTATAAATCCACCTAAAAAAATTATAACAGGTATAAATATCACAGAGACTCTCTTGCAGGAGGTGGATTAAATAATATCCAACCATAAGCAGACGGTATGAAGTAGATAAAGGTTTCTAAGGACATTAAAAAGGCAATGAGATGTCTTCAAAAGCTGCTCCAGAATGCATTCCCCTTTTAATACAATTTATGTCATCATCTACGCCTCAGCAGATCTCTTAGTATTTTAATAATTTTTTAAAAGTTTATTCTTCATTTAAAATTAGTAGTAGAAATAAATCCTCCCCACAGAGTACACAACAGAAGTACAGGTTAAAAAAGGTAAATCAATTCAAATAATAGTCACTGCCAAATATACATTCCAGTCTTACTAATCTCAAAGGAAAAACAAAAATCTTGCTTTTTAGAACCACGTATTCCTCATAAGTTCATTTATAAATCATTCTGGCAACCTGCAAGCATCTTTTAAAGAAAACTATTATAAATGGAGATTCAAGCAAAAAATTATAAAAGTCCTAGTTATCACACTAGCTGAACTATTTCCAGTTTTAGCTTGAAAGTAAGGGCCTAACTGCACTGAGGGAAGTGAGTAAGGAAAGAAATTCTTCCCTCCTTTCCTGGGTGAAAGAATCTTCCCAAAGTTCGATTATACTGTAATTTTAATTTATGAGTATACTAAGTAGCATTTTTCCTAAAAATTTTTCCTCAAAGACAGCTGAGATTATATCTGCTTATATCAAAGTTAACAAATAGAAGTTAGAAAAGGTGTATGTTCTCTATGAATTAAATAAAAAACTACCAGGGAAAAAAGACTTATCTTCTAATGTCTTTTCTTTTTCCTTGTTCCACCAAGACTAGTATAGTTATTAAACCACAAGAAAGATTATCAGTGCTGAAACAAAAGTGAGCACAACCCTGATAGGGCTTGAGAAAGCTTTAAGCCCCTTAGATCTAAGAGAGAGGTTTGAGGATAAAAAAATAAAGAGATAGACCGTATCCCTTAGTCAAAGGAAGACAGTGGGGAGAGGGTTATGGCTGTACAAATCTTGGTGAAGTCAAGCCCAAATATGACAAAAAAAGAGCTGCAGCCTAAGAACAACACTGGCACACAAGAAGGAGCCCTTCACAATTTTTTAAAAAAAGATCTCAGACATCTTGAACAGGATAAGAGAAAACAAAAAGTCTGGATACAGACATGAAACTGCTAACAGTGAAAGGTAATGGGACAAATGGAAATATCCTGATCAAGAAAATGGAGGCCCCCTATCCCCACCCAGCTTGTGCACTTGAAAAGCTAATCATAGATGGGATGAGAAGATGGGGAAAGCAGCAGCACAGGACATTCCCCTTCAGAGTCTCTACTCCCATCCAAACTACCTTGAGCAAAAGGGAAGGCAAACAATTCATCCTCTCTATAGCTGTATAAAAACTTCAGTAACAAGGCATTTCAAATATCAGAAAAGACTAATTATAATATACCCTAATACAGTAAATCAATGGCATCGTTAAATATTGCCAAGGTGAAGCTGTCTATGGGATTATAAAGATAGTGAGTGAGTGAACCTGGCGGACTATCACAGCACCTACATCCCAGTGTAGGGCTCTTTTCCACTCAACTTGGTAGTGATTAAAAACAAACAATAAACGTTTTTATAATGAGATATAAATGACAGACGCTACAGTAGAGTAGAGCAAGCCTGAATATAAAATCCCTATTTCTTCCTTTTCCTCTTGGGAAAGAGGAAAATGCAAATGCAAACTCTGTATATAGTAGGTCTACAATAAATGTTTGCTGAATGAATGATGTCTGCCCTTCTCATTCCTATTGCCAAGCAGACTTTGGGCTTGGCTTTCCTCACACCGTAATAAGCTAAGTCATTCCTTCAATAAATAAGCCTGAGTATTATGAGTTTTATTTGACTTTATTTTGACTAGCCAAATGTGTTTTTCTTTATCTTACTTTCAATTTC